GTCCTTTATTTAATGGGTTGACAGTCACTAACAGTCATAATTTCTCCCGATACAGGTCTGATTAATATATGTTTTTTTATTGAAGGTCATCATCTTTGACATCTGCAGCAACTCTAACTCACCATGAAGATGCTAGCTGTGTCTGTACTTGTTGTTGCCATGATGGCTCTGACTAGGGGTGCTTGTGAGTATTTAGTCAGTGTTTGTGTATGAGTACTGTGAATATTGTGTTTAACAAAGAAATACAGAGATAGAGATTTTGCACACGCACAAAGCAACAAATGTAATTTCTTGTTGTGTCAAACTGTCCAGCTCTTTCAGACTCAGAGGCCTCTGCTGCGACAGAAGCAACAATTCAAGAAAGTAAGTGCATTTTTCTTCAGATTTTTAGGATCATAAAAATATCTGAGAAAAGAACAAATTAACAACTGTCACTCACTGATGTGTTAAACTGTTCATCTCTTCCAGATTCAGAGGCCGCTCCTGCAACAGAAGCAACAATTGAAGAAAGTAAGTGCATTTTTCTTCAGATTTGTATTATGATAAAATGTCTGCACACTGAGGAAAGAACAGGAAAAAAACTTGATGGTGTCACTTGCTGGTGTGTGAGACTGATCTTCAGAAGAAGGAGGAACATCTTTGTCTAGATTAGGCCTAAATGAGATCAGATTTTTATTAAAGCGCATCACATTTGTGATGAACATTGTACTTTATGTGCCTTTTTAAAAAGCAAAAAACTGTCACTTACTGTTGTGTTAAACTGTCTACCTCTTCCAGACTCAGAGACCACTCCTGTGACAGAAACAACAATTGAAAAAGGTAAGTGCAATTTTTTTTTTCAGAATTGTAAGATCATAAAAATATCTGCACACTGAGAAAAAAACAAATTAACAACAGTCACTTCCTCTTGTGTTAAACTGTCAATCTCTTCCAGAATCAGAGGCTGCTCCTGCAACAGAAATAACAACTGAAGAAAGTAAGTGCATTTTTCTTTAGATTTGTATTAAAGTGCATCAAATTTGTTATGAACATTGTACTTTGTTATGTGCAATTACATGAGATAAAAAAGGTCTCTCACTCACTGTTGTGTCAAACTTTCCAGCTCATTTTACAGATGAGGATGAGGTGAGCGGATCAGGAGGTGAGTGCAAAGAAAGATAAATGAAAGAAAGACCTGCTGTTAACCTGATTCTACAAACCAACATAGAGCACCAATAACCTGTGAACAGGCATGTCTTGAAGTTGGAAGTAGTAACTTACCAAATATTTTAATTGGTGTTACACAAATAAATTTGCTGCACATAGTTTACAATGTTTGCTGAAACCTGCAACGTGTAAAACACATAGCTGAGCCTGAGACTGTCTTAGATCAAGAACAAGCTGGTGTGTGTGCAGAGAGAGACAGAGAGGTGTGTGTGTGGGGGGAACAGAAAAGGAAAAGGTGAGCAGAAAGTTTGTGAGTAAACCCTTAAATAAGGTGGAGAATTAGTAGAATTTAAATTGATATAAGAAATAACTTGTATCCATGTCTTTCAGATAATGTATCAACAAATGAAGACTGAGTTGAATTTCCTTTTGATTTTTACTAAACAGCCTTACACTTTGTTATGCCCGCTTGTATGACACATGAATATCATCTACAGAAAGAGAAAAACCCTATTCATTTGTCTAGATACTAAATAACAGCCAAAGTCAACAACTGCTACTGTATGACTATTTCAGATGCAGAGAGTGGAAATGGGACAGCTGCACCTACAAATGGTCAGTAGATGTGTTTTTTTTTTTTCCTTCCCGAATATCACTACAGTTACCATTACCCTCACTTTTTTATTTGTCTTCAGGAAATCATCATGGTCCCAGTGATTCGTTAACGTGCGAGGAATACTGTCATCACAACTTTGATACAATCAGCAGTTGGGAGATGGAGGTAATCCAGATGATTTGAGTGCAGAACGTTTCTTCAGTTACAGTTTGTTTTGCTTGTGTGGCGGTGTGGAGGCTCTCAATGTGAAT